CATGCTCAGTAGGCTCCCTCTTCAGACCTAAGCCCCAATAGAATGCTGAAAAATACACTAATAAATTTTAATGCAAAAAAAAAAAACACAACATACTATATAACCAAATTTTTCTGTAAAGTATAAAAGATGATGTTACCCCGAGTAAATAGATACCTAACATGTTGCGCTTTAAAATTGTGCACACTCGTGGAATGGCGCCAAACTACGGTACTTAAAAAATCTCCATAGGTGACGCCTCAAAATGTTTTTACAGGTTATCACTATAGCGCTAGAATTACTCTTGCTATAACGTTCACTGCGATACCTCACACGTGTGGTGCAAACACCGTTTACATATGTGGGTGTAACCCTTCATATGCAAACACCGCTGCACCCAAGCACGGGGATGCTTTAACATTTTTTTTTTATTAATATTTTATTAGGTTTTACATTTCATCTGTTCCATCAATAAAAATCAAACTCTCTTAATAATCTATTATCATCTCAAGTCCAAAAATTCAAAGCACTCCCCTTCCCCCCCATCCTAACCCGATTGCTCCCTCCCCTTCTCTCCCCCCCCCCCCTCCACTCAGCATCCTTCCCCTATCTTTGAGAGTCCCAGGGTTTTCATCTATTTCTAAATACTTTCAATAAGCTTAACCTTCTTAAACTCCTCCCATTCTTTCCATTTCTCGCGAAAGCACTCTATTTTATCCTCATCTATATGGTATAGTTCCTCCATTTTATATATCTGATCTACTTTTCTTATCCAATCCGTTGTCTTTGGTGTTCCTTGTTCCTTCCATAATTTAGGAATCAAACTCTTTGCTGAGTTAATATAATGCAATAACCCAGAATTTTTGTATTTTTCAACCGTTAACTCTGTTCCATGTAAAAGACATATCCTTAGATCCTTTGGTATTCTTATCTCAGTTATTTCCTGTATCTGGTGGATTATTTCCTCCCAATATTCCTGAATTTTTCAACACGCCTCACCAAATATGAACCACCATGCCCTGTTCCCCACATCTCCGCCAACACAAAGGTGAATTATCCCTGTTTTTGTTTATGTACTATATTTGGTGTCATGTACCACCTCACTAAACACTTATAATTCATCTCTACATCTTACATATTTACACTACCATGTGTTAATTTATAAATCTTTATTTGTTTATCCTCCTCTATCTTTAATTCTAATTCTTTTTCCCAATTTCTCCATATAAGCAGGGATTGTGTTGATTGTCAACCTAGTGAGAATTTTATATATTTTTGAAGTTCCATGTTTCCCATCACCCTATGTACTAAACAAATGCTCAAATGGGTTCCACTTTTTTTTCTTCCTTAATGGCCTAGTGAGTTTTTCTATAAAATGTTTCATATGCAAATACCGCCACTCATCTACCCTAGCAAACAACTCCGTCTTCCTTTTCATTTCCACTAGGGGACAAATTTCCTCACCTTTCATTATGTCTCTCAACTGTGCGTCTCCTTTTTTTGTCCATCTCCCTGCTACTTTTTCATTCCCCGGAGGGAAGAAATCTGTGTTTACTATGGGCATCAACAATGAGTTAAATTTCCATCCCATCTTTTTATCTATTGTGTCCCAAGTTTTCAAAACAATTTGTGTAAATATACTTGTGCTATCTGTCAATCTACGACAGTGAGGTGGTAACCATATTATCCTACTCAAATGTGTTTTACATAATGTGTTTTCTATATTTATACAACTGTTTCCTTGTGCATTGTGTCCAGTCAAAAATACGTGCTATCAATACTGAATTATAATATCTTTTAAAATCAGGAACACCCAATCCCCCATTTGTCTCTAGTTAAAACTTTGTAACTTATTCTAGGTTTTCTATTTCCCCAAAAAAACTTTATTATAATTTTTTTTTTCATTATCCTAAAATACATTCCTGGCAGCTTTATTGGGATCATATGAAATTTATTTAAAATTTTTGGAACAATTATCATTTTTATCAGGTTTGTTTGTCCTATCCAAGATATACCACCTATCCCTAATTTTTTCATTTTCTCAATTTCATTTAATAGTGGTATATAATTTGGTTTATAAGTTCTTTGAGGATACAGTTTAAATTTATTCCTAAATATTTTAGTTTTTTTTCCTTCCACGAGAATGAAAATTCTTTTTGTAAATCTTTTTTTCTCTCCTCCTGTAAGATTTATATTCAAGATCTCTGTTTTAGTTGGATTAATTTTTAGGTTAGACAGTTCCCCATATTCCTTCATAGTTTTCATTACATTAGGTAAAGTTATCCTTGGGTTACCTACATAGAACAGCAAATCATCGGCATAGGCCACTACTTTATGCTCTGTCTCTCCTATCCAAATTCCCTTAATATCTATGTTATTCCTTATTTTTGCTAAGAGGGATTCTAAGGACATGACAAATAACAAGGATGACAATGGACATCCCTATCGGGTTCCATTATACATCTTAAAGCTCTCTGATATTTCCCCATTTACCTTTACTGCAGCAGATGGTTGACTATACAATTTCCCTATCCATATTCTCATTCTAGGGCCCATCCCCAGAGCTTTCAGTGTATCCAACATATACCCCCAGTCTAATCTATCAAACGCTTTCTCAGCGTCTACCGACAATTAACAAAACAGGGAATTTTTCTCTTTTACTTTTTTGTATAAGCAATAACGATCTTAGTCCATTATCCCTACCCTCTCTCCCATGGACAAACCCCACTTGATCCATGTGCATCCACTCCGGCATTAAATCCTTTATCCTATTTGATAAAAATTTTGCATATAGTTCAGTGTGTATATTTAGTAAGGATATCGGTCTATAGCTAGAACACTGTGTACTATCTTTCCCTTCTTTTGGTATTATTGTAATATGAGCCTGCAGGGATTCCTCTCTTATTTCCATCTCCCCTCCCAATGCATTCATATATACACTCAGTTTAGGTATCAATTGATCTTTTAATTTCTTATAGTATCTCACAGTGTACCCATCCGGTCCCAGACTTTTCCCTGACATAGTATTCTTCATTGCACTTTGAATTTCTTCTTCTGATATTAATCTCTCAAGGGATATTAACTGATCTTCTCTCAATTTCGGTAAACCCGCCTCTTTAAGTATGTCTGTCTTTTTCTCCTTCTTTCTTCCTCTTCTCTTATGAACCGTTGGGGATTAATATTACATATTTTACTATAATAATCTTTAAACACTTTTGCAATATTTTTGGTAGAATATTTTAGTTCTCCTTTATTATCTCTTACTTTCTCTATATAGTTCTTAGCTTTCTTTTTTCTTTGAGCTCCCATTAAAAATTTTCCTGGTCTATCTCCCTACCTATATCTTTCACTAATCATCTTAATAAACACTCTCCTTTTTTCCACCTCCATTAAATTATTTAGTTCTTCTCATTTTTCCATTATATTCTGCTAATCTGTTTTGTTATTTTCTTTTTATGTACCTGTTCTAATTCAAATAATTTTGTAAGAAGCGTTCTCTTTTTCCTTTCCTTTTTCTTTTTCACCCCAATTGCTATTAAGATTCCTCTAATATAGGCCTTATGGGCTTCCCACACTGTCGCTACAGACACCTCTTCAGTCTCATTTCTTTCAAAATATTGTTCTATTTCTCTTTTAATTATCTGTTCCGTCTCCTGATCCTGAAGAAGTGTCTCATTTAACCTCCACCTGTTTATCTTTTTATGTTCCCTTCCCCATAACAACTTCATTGTAACAAGTGCATGGTCCGATAGTGTTATAACTTCTATCTTTGTTTTCACCAGAGACTCCACGTCTGGGATCTAACAATATATATAATCCAATCTTGAGTACGTCTCATGTGCATGAGAATAGAATGTATAGTCTTTATCATTCAGATTTTTAATTCTCCAACTATCCACCAATTGAAAATATTGTATTGTTTTCTTTAATACTTTCAAATATTTATTTCCTTCCCTCAGCACATGTGACGTCGTAACCATCTGTGGTTCCATGCAACAGTTAAAATCTCCTGCCGCAATTAATTTGCCCTTTTTTTTTAAATCTAATAGCTTCTTCAATATGTTTTTTAAATAGACCTCAGGTTTTTTATTAGGGCAATATATATTTGCCAATGTACATTCTACCTCTTGCAATTTCCCCTTTAAGAATAAAAATCTCCCCTCCGGATCCTCCATTTTATCTTCCAAACAAAACCTTATATTTTTCACAAACCCAATTGTACACCTTTAGCACGTTTAGTTGGAAAATCTGCGTAATACCATATTGGGTAATGCTTAGAATATAATTTCACATTTGTTTCTTGTATTAGATGGGTTTCCTGAATAAACACTACCTCAATAAATCTTTTTTGTATTTCTGTAAGGTGCTTGAATCTTTTCTCAGGGATATTTAGCCCTTTAACATTATAAGTCATACATTTTTAACATTTTTTTAATTCATTTATTTATTTATTTTTAACACTGTCCCTTTTACAATTTTTTTATTTCCTATCACAAAAATTGTAAACATCCCTTGTGATAGAAATAAGGCATTGATCTCTAATTTCCTTGGAAAACAAATTGCAGTCTTTACATCTGCTAGAATGGACTTGATGTCATGACGTCACTTCCAGCCTCCCAGGACCACGGAGATGGCCGGGGACCATCCTGTCCATGGCGGGCTCTGTGATGACCCAGCTGCCCCTCTGGACCAGAAACCAGGCTACCTGATCGCACCAGAGATCCCAGAAAGGAGCTGGTGGGTGGCGGGAGCAAGGGGGAATGTTCCTCCTGCTGCCTGTAAAAGCAATTCAGTAGCTAATCGGCCGCTAGGATGGCTTTTACATTTGAGGGAGTCACTGCAGGCATCTCCCTGATATCTCCACTTCAATTCCAGGACATCATATGACGTCTTACTGGTGGGAAGTGGTTAGTTGGGTTTTTGTGTATTTTTTTGTACTGTGAGAAGAAGGGAGGTAGTCGATGAATCAACACAGAAAACACAACACCTTCCTGAAACTGGCAACCTCAATATGTGTGAATTTCCTCTTTACAGGTTTATGAACCACAGAGCCCCGGCCAACAGCCGCTACAAACCAACTTGCTACGAACATGCTGCCAACTGCTACACACATGCAGTAAGTACATTCCTGGAGCTCACATAATGCTTACATGATGAGGGAGGGGAGTGGGGGGTGGTAATATAACTTTTCAATCAGCAATAGTAATACTGTTGAAAGAAAATTGACAAGTGTATTCTGTTTTTCGTTGATGATTTGACATTTTTCAGAAATGCCACAATGTTTATATTGCCTCTAGATGGATCGAATCGCTGCTGGTTCAGCAGAGATCGGCTGAGATTTGAACCATTTATGAGCAGGCTGGTTGTACTGAAGTTGATCCATCGATCATGTCGGATTTTTTGCATGCGATTACTTAGCCGCTGGCAGTAACCATTGTGTTTTGCCGGAAGGGAAGGCACCCCAACACTGACTGTGTTAATGAGGGAATCGAGTGATCCATGGCTTGCAGGAAATAAAATGCGTCTATGGCTTGCTTTATTAATAACCCCCCCTCCCGAAAAAAAAAAAACTGGTGCGCCACTCTGTTTTAGTTTCACTTTTTTTTATTAAAACTAAGCCTGCCCAGTTGCAGTTCTCCTTGCCATGGAGAGCACTTTAGTGGCCATTAAATTTAAGCTGGCTATTTTGGGGGATTCCCAACAAACCCAGTAATATTCCCCTTTAAATTAATTTACATGTATTGAGATTTTTTTTTTTTACCAAAGTCATGTAGCAGAATACATTTTGGCCTACATTTTATGACGAAATTTACTTTTTAAAATTTGTTTACTGGACATTTAATCGCAAAAAAGTCAAAAATATTGGGTTTTTGTTTTCTCAAAATTCAGTCTTTTTTTGTTTATAGTACAAAAAATAAAACATGAACAGGAGATCAAATACCACCGAAAAAAAAAGCTCTATTTGTTGGAAAAAAGGACAGAAATTTCATTTGGGTGTAGCGTTGCATAACCGCGCAATTGTCAGAATAATGCAGCGCCGTATCGCAAAAAATGGCCTGGTCAGGAAGTGGGATAAATCCTCAGGAGAGCAAGTGTTTAATTGAATAAGCTGAAGTTAGAAGCTGATTGGCTATCATGCACAGCTGCACCAGATTCTGAGTGCTCCAGTTTTAGTAAATCTACCCCTATGCGTGTATGGCCAGCTTTAATCTCATTGGACAGGGTCCAGGCAGATGGACAGGGCAGAGCGCAGAATTTAGACCCCTACAACATAGTACAACTAAATCAGAGAGGCAAATGGGACACTCTTCTGACTAATGAACCGTTTCCTAGAAAAACATCTAAATAACCATTATAACATCGTAGTGTATCTGGTTGTAGAAGGCAAAAAAAGGGGGGTAACGTGACTAAATCATGTGTGTGCATATGTACTATATAACAAAAATACCTGTAATATGCAAATACTGCAGCTGATCACTTGCAAATGGTAGTGTGATGTATTTGCTTTGTGCTTTCTCGTAAGTTTCTCATGAAGTTTTACTTGCACTGCGGGAGACCCTTGGATCTACGCCATACCAGAAGTAAAACAGAAAAAAAAAACCCTCTTGAGCAAGCATGTTTAACCAGAGACTTTCTCAAGTACTTGTGTGTTAAGGGTGAATGTGTTCTTTAGCAAATGCAAGGCACTCTTATGTAAACTTAGGCTACAATTGAGACCAAACTGCAACCTGCTAATAAAATCCAAGAAACACTGCAAATATCCTAAATTAAAAAAGAAAAGAGGGGTCACGCATGCGGGCGTTTAGGGTTCTATACCACGTAGATCTATATATTTGTGTGGCGGGTATGGCCAGGTGTTTCAGTTGCAGAAAGAAAGCCTGATCACTGTCTGCAGCTATCCCCACATTAGCGATTACCATGGGCGTAGATAAGGGGGGAGTCGGGGGGGGGGGTCTGAATTCTCCCCCAGAGGACAAATGCCAACCATCCCTGCAGCCCTCAAAATTTCTACTTGCCCGCAAGCGGTAAAAATGCAGCTCAGCTGCAAGCTGAACCCCCCCTCAGAAAAAAAAAATATCTACAGCCCTGGCGATTTCATGTACGTCAATGAGTGCAACACAGTTTGCATCCACGGGTGCACATCCATCCTTAGCCACAGGTAATTGCTTCATGTGTGAATACATGCAGGCAGTTTCAGTCTGTCATTTATTTGTTCAGGCTTCCTGTGCACGGCTGATCGGAAACACCGGGCCGTACCCGACTGCAGAAATATACACCTTAATGCCTCGTACACATGATCAGAAAATTGGATGACAAAAATCGCTTTTTGGAGGGATCGTACACTAATCTGGTCATTTGTACACAGCTTTCAACAGCCAGTCAAGGCAGTTCATGCAACACTGTCCTGATTAAACAATTTTAGTTTAATCAGGACAGTGTTTGTCCAAAAAAAAAAAAAAATCGAGAGACCAAGACCACACATGCTCAGAAACTAATACATTACATTACAATACATCACTTTCAAAGTTGTATTCTGTTGAACGAGAATCTTCGTAACTTTAGTAACTTCTTCATTTCTGATATGAGACTAGCATGCAACAAAAATGAACGATAAGTTGTCCGGTGATATGATCTGTACTACATAAATGGTGTTCCGCCCCATTGGCCAAATGCATGATCCCTAATGTTTTTATTAATGTCCTTTTAACCCCTTCCTGCCTAGCCATGGCATCCCTTTAACAGGGTCTTTACACCGTGTAATCATTGTAATTGGCTAATGTCAGTATTCCTATTGCACACATTCCTAGATTTGGCTCAGGAGTAGCGGGTGTTGCAGCAACAGCTAGATGGAGACATCACAGGTCAATGTATATATTTGCCAACATACCACAGATTATTAAGCACTGCCCAAAACATTTATTGAAGCATGATCACATCACAGTGGGCAAAGTGCAACATTTCAGAGCTGTGCAAGACCCCTTAGACATGTGACGGCATCACGTGCCTGACAAAGGGGTTCTGCATGACTCCGTAACGTTGCACTATGTCCACTGATGTGATCATTCTTCAATAAAACTTTCATATGGTACTCGCCTTCACAGCTCTGGACATCCCTGGGAACGAGAGTCAGGCTCTGCATACACCATCAAGCAGCCCGTAGCCTCTCTCAAATCTCACCTGGTCCCCATGTCGCATGTGTCTCTTCTTCCATCCTTTCTTCTGGGGGGCACTGTTGCCCCCCTGAAAAATGCCACCCTAGCCTTGTTTGCCTTTTGGTAAATACGCCCCTGGTCCCATGATCAAGAGCCGGTTCTTCTGGCTCCTTATCATTTGTAGAGAACAAGAGCTGTCTTTGACTTGTGCCTGGAGCTCTGCCACCCATGCATTAAAACCTACTCCTCTTTGCTGCACATACTGTATGCATTACATGAGTGGCAAGAAGTTAATATAGTCCATTGCAGCCAGACTCAGCAGCAATTTCAAAATATTTAATGGTAAGACTGCAGCACCTTTTCACATGATTCTGGGTTGTCATGGGTACATCGAAGAGGATGGTGCTCCGAAATTGCCCAACAGTGGCTTCCACTCACAGATTCTTGTAAGTCCAACCAAATTTTTTTTTCTTTTCTTGGATAGAATGGGGAAAAATTAAAATGTTGTCAGGTTTTATTTCTGTCTGTGACCCCATTGCGTAGATGTTCCTTCATTTCCTGGCAAGAAATGGGAAAAGGAAGGCAAGGGCAGCAATATAAACATTTTCAAGTTACCCAGGCTGCAAAAAAGTTTTTTGTGTGCACTCCTTTGGAAAGATTTCTCATATGTTTCAATCCTGGCAGGAAGTGAGAGGAAATCCCCCCCAGTAAGGACATGGACAGTAGGAAAAAGCTGATATAATGAAATTAGGAGTTTTGGCTGGAGCTGGGCTAAAAATTTATCAGGCTCTCACTATAGCATAATGAAAGGCCACATGACCAAATGCCTAGTCCAGCCTTTCTCAACCAGGATTCCTCTAGGCCAGCCTTTCTTAACCTTTTTAACACAGAGGAACTTTTGAATTAACTTTCCATTCTCCGGAAACCCCTGCTAAAAATGACTATATCTACAACTCATGATACATTAGTGTGATGGTAAGTGGGAAGAATGCTCCTTGCATTGGTGGTCATTGGGAAGAATTACACCAATACAGATAGCTAAAAAGATCAATGCTTACTTAACTGAAATTCAGAAATGGCTCATTGCTCAAGGAACCCCTAGCAACCTCTGGAGGAACCCTGGTTGAGAACCCTTTTCTAGAGGCTGCTAGGGGGTTCCTGAGCAATGGGCAATTTCTGCCTCTCAGTTAAGTAACCTCTGACACCACTGATATTTGTACTTCCCTACAAAACCTCCAGTGACCTCAAATGTAAGGAGGAGCATTCTTTCCAATGACCATCACACTAATATACTGTGAGCTTTAGATTTAAAAATTATTGGTAGGGTTCCCTAAGAAAAGGATTCTTCCATGTTCTTTCTGTTTCTTCCAGAAAGTTGGCCTAGGAATTTGGCCACTTGAGCTCTGCCAGAGAGGCTAGAAAGGATCTCCAAACTTTTTAAACCAATAGCCAGCTTACTGTCCTTGAAACTTTGGGGGGGGGGGCAATGGGAGTAGATAATGTCTCAGGCTTGGCAGTCATTGGGAGTAAAAAAAAAATTACATAGCACCCCTGCGGTTAGGAGGAGGAGGAATAATGCCCCATCATTGGTATTAGTGGGAGGAACAATGGCCCCATCGTTGGGGTCAGTGAAAGAAATAGTGCCTCATCCTTGACAGTGGAAGGAATAGTCCCTCATCATTGAAGCCAGAGGGAGGAATAATGCTTCATTGTTGTTGTCAGAGTGAGGAATATTTCCCTAAGGGCCAGATAAAATCAAACAAAGGGCCAGATCCAGCCCTCAGTCCACAGTTTGGAGACTGCTGGTCCATAGGTTTCTGTTATTCATCAGAGATCATGTGGCTAAATTCCTACGTATATGGTCACATGAGGGGCCAAGATGGTTTTCCAAAAGAACAGTTGTTATGGGACTGGTCAATAATTCCTTCATTGTTTATCCCTTTTAAATAGGAGGTCCTATTCC